TTGGGTTGCGCCGCCTACAATGTGCTCCGTAAAGATCGCGAGCGAGATAATGGTGGCGGACTAGCGTTCATCTTACACCACACAGTGCAGTATCGGCTTATCGAAGAAGACATCGACCCGAGGGACACCACCCTAGAATGTCAGGGCATATACGTCCGGTCAGGCGATATCGAGCTCGAAATATTCAACGTTTATGTACCCCATGTCACCTGCTGTCCGGCAGGATATCACCCTGACATAGGTGCGCTACTCAGAGGTGAAAACCGAATGGTAGTAGGTGACTTCAACGCGCACCATGATCTATGGCACTCAAGCCTGGCCAATGATCGTAGGGGAAACCTTTTGGCTGAGCAGATAGACGATTCGACATTCTGCACCATGAACGACGACGCCCCCACCAGGATTATGGGTAGCTGCAGCAGCTCGCCAGACCTAACAATTGCTAGCGCTGGTTTGATCAATAGCATCTCATGGCGACCGATGCTAACACTAGCATCAGACCATCTACCCATAGTCATCTCGATCAATAAGCCCACCGACTTTGCTCCCGCGGACCACCGAACCTATACCAACTTTAACAAAGCTGATTGGGACGGTTTCGCGGAAGTCACCGAGAGCAGCTTCGCCGCCCTTCCCACACCCACAAACATACACACTGGCGAACGCCAGTTCCGCAGGGTAGTCACTGCCGCAGCGGCTCGCTTCATCCCGTCCGGACGCATCGCGGAAGTCCGCCCAAATTTCCCGGCCGAATCAGCTGTACTAGCAAACGAGCGTGACCACCTACGCCAGGTCGACCCCGGGGACCCCCGTCTGAGGGACCTTAACTTGGAGATTCGGCAACTGGTAAATCAGCATAAGCGGAAAAAGTGGGAGGAGCACTTGAAGGCCTGTAATTCACATCTGGTGTTAGTAAGCTCTGGTCAACCGTGAGGTCCCTGTCCAACCCAACGAAGCGTGATGACAGAGTGGAAATCTCTTTCGAAGGTCGCGCTTCGTCGGGCCCGAAGAAATGCGCAGCCTACTTTAGTAGGCAATTTACACTGCACCCTTCGGTAGACAAGGCCAAACGTCGAGTGACCAGGAGACTGCACAAGCTGCCAAAAAACAGTGCACCACTTGTTTTCACCAGCTGTGAAGTGAAGGGGGCCATCGGGAAGGCGAAAGCCATTGGACCCGACGGAATCTGCATGCTGATGCTAAAACATTTAGGGCCTAAGGGAGTAGCTTACCTTACGGAGGTCCTCAACCTGTCCATGGCCACTCTCATCATTCCTGATGTGTGGAAATCAGGGAGAGTGGTCCCACTGCTGAAACCGGGGAAGCCCGCCAACAAAGGAGACTTATCGCCCGATAACGCTCCTTTCCCCGGTCGCGAAGACGCTTGAGGCCCTACTACTCCCATACTTCACTTGCCACCTGACCCCAGCTAAGCACCAGCACGGATTCCGTAAAGTGCACAGCACAACAACAGCACTTAACTCCATAAACACACAAATAACTCGTGGCCTAAATCGAAACCGCCCCTGTGAGAGAACGGTCCTAGTAGCGCTGGACTTGTCAAAGGCGTTTGACACCGTCTGTCATTCCACGCTACTAGAAGACATCGAGGCCTCCTCACTCCCACAGGGACTGAAGCGATGGTCGGCGAATTATATGAGTGGTCGACAGTCGTCAGTAATCTTCCGAGATCAAACCTCGAAACCAAGAAGGATTAAACAAGGGGTTCCACAAGGTGGTGTTCTCTCCCCCTTACTATTTAACTTCTACATCTCGAAACTTCCTCAACCACCTGAGGGAGTTTCCCTGATCTCAACGCTGACGATTGCTCGATTTTGGCGTCCGGGAATGGAATTGATGACCTCTGCTCAAAAGTGAACGACTATCTCTCCAGCCTTTCTCGCTTCTTCACTGCAAGGAGCCTAACACTCTCCCCAACGAAATCAACGGCGACCCTCTTCACCACCTGGACGAAGGAGGTCAGACTAGAGTTGGGTATACACGTCGACGGCACACCAATACCGACTGTAAACAACCCAAAAATCTTAGGAGTCACCTTCGATAGCCTGCTTTCCTTCTCCACGCACACAACCGCAATTGTCAACAAAGTACCGAGCCGCAACAAGGTCCTCAAGTCGCTCGCCGGCAGCACTTGGGGCAAAGACAAAGAAACGTTGCTGGCAACATACAAGGCAATTGGCCGGCCGGTTCTAAACTATGCTGCGCCAGTTTGGACGCCGGGGACTAGTTGGACGCAGTGGACGAAGCTACAGACTTGTCAGAACGCCGCACTCCGGACAGCGACTGGGTGCCTTCTGATGACGCCTGAGCACCACCTGCACAGCGAGGCCCAAGTGCTCCCCGTCATGGAACACAACAAAATGCTCTGTAAGCAATTTCTGGTGGGGTGTCACAGAAGTGAACACCCTAACAGACTGTTGCTTCAGGAGGAGCCTCCGCCCAGGCACGTCATGGGGCCCCTATTCGTGTACAAGGACGCAGTCCAACAGTACATAGACCAACCTTTGGACCCGACGACATACAGACAAGCCATAAACGACATTCATAGAGAGTCAGTTACCAACTACCTCGACTCTCGACCTATGAATGCCGTAATACGAGCCCAATCACCACCTGTGGAAGAGACGGAGCTTCAACTGCCACGAGAGACCCGCGTTACCCTGGCTCAATTACGGTCTGGATACTGTAGCCGCCTTAACAGCTACCTGTCCAGACTCGACCCCAATATCCCCAATGAGTGCCCGGCATGTGGAGAGTCCCCCCACGACACCAACCACCTCTTTACATGCCAGCTCAATCCGACTCAACTAACACCCCTCTCCCTCTGGTCCGAACCCATTGAAACAGCTCGTTTCCTGGGCCTCCCGTTAGTTGAGCTCGACGACAATGATTGAACGTAGACCCGAAAATGGCTGGGCTTAGTAGTGCCGCTACAACAACAACAACAACAACGAGACCAAAAACTTGGCAATTTCCTTCTACGACAACCGCACGCCAAGAACGCTCGAAGCGTATCTGCCGTCTATTTGGTTCTTCATTCTTTGATCAGGGGACACCCAAGTAGCTTTGTGGATATTTTGCTGCTGTCGGGTGCCGCGGCGAAGACGATCAGCCTCTCTCCGTTGTCAGAGGTGTTGTCATGAAGGCTGAACTTTTTGACTGTTGGAACAAATACATTTACCTTCTTCGCCCACCCTGGCGTTAATGTCAAGAAGCACGATTTTAACATCGGGACAGGGGCAGCGCTCATACGTTTCTCCTAGGCGCTCATAGAAACACTCCTCATTCTCATTGTCCTTCTCTTCTGTCCGTATGCACACACAAATTAGGCTGATCTCAATGCCTCCCACAGGGACCTACAGGCGATACAATATGAAATACACCGCTTATAACAAGCACGAAGACCAACTCGGCAATCCAATTTATGAGTTTTTGATCCTCGCCAAAGTACAGTTGACGTTAAGCACAAACTTCAGCTTCATCCAAATTCTCGCCGTTTGATCAAATGAGTCTTTAGATAAAGTTAAGTCTTGGAAGGTTGGAAGGTGCAATAATAACTGTCCATTATAATTACAACGATGTATGTTGCAAAATCGCGATTCTCCAGCTTAGAACAGAAACTGCCATATTCGCGTTGGTGACGGAATATGGAATAACGAACTGTATAATGACATGACAGTCTTAAACGCATTAATATACATTAATTTGTGGCTCATAAAATGTTAGTATAATAAAGTGCAAGTTTCAATTGCTTTAATTTTTAATATTTTTTCTTTGGCTGACTTGCGCTTTGTTATACTAAAATTGTATGAGCTATAAAACTACATACCGAAAAAGATTCTTAATGTTTTATTTCCATAGTGGGGGAAAACTCTATGCGTATCGGTTTATCGATGTACGCCCAAAGAACGTAGGTAACAAGAAGGGACAGCTCTTTATAATTGCAGCGAAAGTGCGCAACAGGAGTGTGCCTTCCCTTTTTCCCTAGTGCGTTTTTTGATTGGATGAAAAGATAAGGCACGCTCCTGTTGTGCACTTTCACCACAATTATAACGAGTTGTCTCTTCTTGTTATCTACGTTCTTTGGTACGCCCTCCGATGAATCGACAAATATCGATGTAAGTTTCGATGCATCGATGCGAGGAAAAACATCGATGTATTTTTGCCACTATCATCCCTAGAGCAAATCCAATTTTTGGCAGCAAATGTCAGTTACGCGGTTTTGTACTTTAAACGACGATAACCTTTTAGTCTGACATGAGAGGATAGTCTTTCCCAGGAAAGGACTATATATGTAGGCTTTTTAATGCGTTTACAACGATGGAAAAAGCGATTTAGATGTTTTTACTCTCATAGCAAGTCTTTAAAATCACTTGGATCAAATTGACGTTTTTTTGTGATACTGTCTGTATTTAAGTACATGTCGCTCATTTACTTCAATACTAGCCGAGTAAAATCAGACCTTTTCTGAAAAAAAAATGTAACAGTGATTTTATGATGCAGTTTACTTCTATTTGACACGTAGACCATGGATCCAGTCTTGCCCCTAAATTTCATATGGAAACATTCCGCCATTTTGGATTGTAGGTTTTTTGGTTTTTTTTTCAATTTACAAGGTTAAACTAGATGCGCTTAAAATTTTACAATCAAGATCTCTGATTACGAGTCTGAAATCAGATCAGATTTTTACTAACATGTTACTCATACGCCAGGTACGTACGAGTGATTTAAATTTTTTTCATAATAAATGGTAGATCCAATTTGGATCCACCATTTGAATTTTAAAATCCCATTTCAGATTTGTAATTAGAAACCCCCGTCCAAAATGTCTCAAACAAATCGGATCGATTTAAATTTTTGTCTGCCATATTGGGTCCACCATTTTGAATTTTTCCAACCTGACCTCATATTCGCAATAAGCGGCCCAAAAACCCCAGAGGAAAGCGTTTCAAGCGGACCGAATCAATTTTAAATTTTTAGCCGCCAAATTGGATTCGCAATCATGCTCTGGGTTCGTAATCAGCAACCTCAAAAATATAAGAACCTGCTGTTACTTTTTCTTTTTTAGTGTTGGGTTCTCCGGTGGCACGAAAGTTGTAAAGCAAAATCTAATTTACGATTAGTTTAGACACCATATTTGAGACGCCATGTTGAATTTTTGAAAAGGCCACACTGTTTTTAATGAAGTTCTCTACAACCTTAGAGTTTCAATATTATATGTATTTCCAACAGAAATTGTCGAAAAATGGCGAAGATCGTGACAATGTAAAATTTTTTCGCAGTTTTTGCTTATTATTTACAATAAAAAATGTTTTTTTAACCTTCTATATAACAAATGTGGGAAATTAAATTCTCTACAAATGTGTATTAAACCATTTAATACGAAAAATGCAATATAAGCCTGCAAATCGCAAAAAAAAACAAAAAAAACTAAAATCCAAGATGGCGGAATGTTTCCAAATGAAATTTAGGGGAAAGACTGGATCCATGATCTACGTGTCAAATAGAAGTAAACTGCATCAAAAAATCTCTGTTACAAATTTCTTTTTGTTTTTCGTGCCAAATTTATCTAATTTTACTCAATACTCAAAAAACCAAAAATTCGAAAAAAAATCCTGCAATGCGACCGGAATCCGTCACAAATTTTACTATTTGGTATGTATAGTGATCTCCCCTCTACGATAATTCTAAGAGGTTGCGCATGAGGCAAGGTAATAAGATATTATACGCCATTTAAGTATTATGCAAACTAGGATTCTTTAAAGACGTAGTTATATTTCTGCTTTCCATTACCCAACCACAATTTCCCAGGCACCAATACATGATTTTCAATATGCCCCTTTCATTTCAGAAAAGAGCATCAGCGTGACATAAGATTGAATGGTGGACGTTCGAAGAATTATCACAGTATAAAATGGACTCAACCGCGTGTGGATCAATTATATACGATGTACACTCAGGAACCGCTGAGTATGCAATGCAACAAATCGGACGGTTATCGATTTGATGGATACAATTGGGAGGGAGCACCAGTGACACCTGTGGAAATTAAGATCCCCATGCATGGCAAATTCTGTCCAAACTATAACCCACTGTGGTTAAAACCCCTCGAAATAGGCGCTTGCGACTTACTTGGGGAATGTATATATTAAAACAGAACAACAGAGAAAGGGAAAAATCTGGATGCACAAAAGTTTCTTGTAGTTTTAAGATCTGTACATATATGCGACATTAGAAAGCTCCTTTGCGTAATTCAATCCCGATTTGTAAAGGAAGTGTTTTGTGTAGAAAAAATTGAGTGCGTCGAAGTCTTTTAAATAAAATGAGAGGTGCATCTGCCCTAAAAGCTTTATGAAATAACGGAAATTCTTAGACTAAATATTTAAGCGAACTACTTGAAGATCGTAATTAATATGGTAATTTCAAAATTTTAATCAAAACCAGTCAGAAAAGTACACAAAGTCTTTTTGGAGCTTAGCCAAAGAAATTTTTCATATAAAAATGCCTTCACAAACTGTTAAGGAAACTTTTTAAAGATATTTTTATATGAATATTCGAGGTCCTTAAGTTTAAACAAGGGTTGCCACAGAGTAAGGGAAATAGCGAAAGTCATTGTCGCTTTGTGAATGTTAATGGCATTTCGTTATTTGGAATGAAAAATATCCAAAGGTATATAGATAAGAAAACTTTCAAAACAAATAGTACGCACATATGTATGTAGATATTTGTGGATGTATTTATGTCTTTACGTAATGAGTTCACATTAAAACTCCTGTCCTCAGAAGCATGGTCTTCATAAGAATTGGATTGTAGGTAAAAAACGACCATTGTATTAAGAAATATTCAGGAATAGTGTTCGGAATTGCTGAATTTATGCTGAACCTAAATCAAACATAAAATATTTACACATACATACGTATAATTGTCCGATTTATTGAATATTGATGTACGCCCATAAGTGTCTGGTCCCAACCGGGGTACCGAAATTGCGCATATGGAAACTATGCATGTAGACATTATTTCGGTTTCAACTGAAACTGCATGTATGTATGCTTTATTTCGGTTTTTGCCATATGCATTATTTCGGTTTTTAACCGAAACTGTGCATGTATGCATTACTTCGTTTTTTTTCATATGCATTATTTCACTTTTAAAACGAAAGTATGCATATGCATAATTTCGGCATTTCTCATATGCATTATTTCGGTTTTCAACCGAAACTGTGCGTGCATGCATTATTTCTGTTTTCAACCGAAACTCCGCATGTATGCATACCTTCGTCTTTCACATATGCATTATTTCGGTTTTGAGCCAAAATTGTGCATGCATGCATTATTTCGGTTTTTGTTATATGCATTATTTCGGTTTTCTAACGAAAGTGTGCATATGGATAATTTCGTTTTTTCTAATATGAATTATTTACTTCTACTTAGTAAGGGTTTTAATCCCTAAGCGCGGCTGAAAGCCGCCTACGCAGAGAAAAGTTCNAGCTTTTAATCCCTAAGCGCGGCCGAAAGCCTCCTACGCAGAAAAAAGTTCTGCGCAAAAATACTTCCGCCCTTCTTTTTCGGCAACACAGAAAGGAAATTCTACTTAGTAAGGGTTATAATCCCTAAGCGCGGCCGAAGGCCGCCTACGCAGAAAGAAGTTCGTTTTCATGTTTGCACTATTTCGGTTTATGTCATATGCATTATTTCGGTTTTGAGTCGAAACTGTGCATGTATGCATTAATTCGGTTTTTGTCATATGCATTACTTCGGTTTTGAACCGAAACTCTGCATGTATGCATTACATCGTTTTTCTCATATGCGTTATTTCGGTTTTCAAACGAAGAGTGCATATGCATAATTTCGACTTTTCTAATATGCATTATTTCGGTTTTCAACCGAAACTGTGCATATATGCATTATTTCTGTTTTTTCGCATGCATTTTTCTGTTTTTTTCATATGCATTATTTCGTATGCACAGTTTCCATATGCACAATTTCAGGGTGCCGTCCCAACCTTATGTTTTCCCACAGCAACCACTAACATAAAACATTAAAGACGTGTTTAGAAAACACAACCAAATAACTATAAATGCCTGCATACATACATACATATGTATGAACCCAGCAAAAAATAGCGAATCGCTCCTACATAGTGGTAACATGTTCTAGAACGAATTACCCTATAATGTCTTTTAATTTTTTCGCCTCTTTTATGTATTGCCGGTAATGCAAAATAGAATGTCCTTCATTGTTTTATTTATTCCGCTGCTTTGATTTGTTACTGGGAAAGCAAAGTAGAATGATTTACGTAGTCATCTAAAAACAAGTAAGAAAGTCTAAGTTCGGGCGGAGCCGAACATTAAATACCCGGCGCAGGTATTAAATATATGTTTTTCACCTTTCCGAAAGCTACCGCTACATGGTAAACCGGGGTGTATCCATTTTGAGTAAATTATTGTCCTTAAATTTCGAAATATTGAAGTTTCAAGCATTTCTGAAATTTACTACCGAGATACATATATGTGATCATAAGTGGGCGGTGCCACGCCCATTTTTCAAAATTTTCTCTTAAGCGTATTTCTTGGTAGAGAATTGTTGCAATCATCAATTTTGAATAAATTAGCTTTAATATTTACTGATTTATCGAAGATTTCGTATTTCTCTAAATTACCGTTATATGGGATGTGGGCGTGGTTATTGTCCGATTTTAAAAATTTTCGGCCATTTGGTATG